TACCGACGAATTGAATACCTCCTTCTTTTGGGAAGTCGGTCAAAAAGCAAAATTAAATCTTGTTACAGAAGCGTAAAGCTTAATTTTATTTGACAGGCCAGTGTGAGTGAACTTCATACGCGAAACTTACTTTTGTTTATCTATTTATACTAATATTATAAAGAGGAAAGATTCGTATTTTTGTATGTATTTCATTCATGCAAAAAATAATGGGCCGATTTAAAAAATTCTTTCACCATTAAATCTACGTTATCAGTAACATAGGCTAATTTTCTTAAATTCTTTCTTAAAAAATAAAATAAAAAAAATGTATATATTCTGTTTTGTCACTAACATAATTTAAGAAACTTACTAACAAGTTTATGAGCCGATTGTACGCTTGAAATAAAGTTATTATTATTATTATATTATTATTAAATACAAGCGAGCGGGGTCGCGAGCAATTCCTAGTGTTTTATATATTTAAATCCTTAGTGTACTGTATGCTTGGGACGTCTGCTCCTGTCGGTGGCTCGGACACGACTGACTTGCTGGCATGACACCATGACAAATAAACAGTGTGGCCATAAACTTAGTTTTGTATAAAAATAACAGTATTTGTTAAAATCTCCAGGTGCAGGTGGTGATATTGCCGCTGACGGACTACTGCTACGTGAGCCCGGCGGAGGTGGCCGGCGCTGACCGCCTCAAGCCCTGACCTCGCACTGAATAACTTCATTTTTGACCTTTACATTTTTAGAACTGAAATTTTCGAGGCAAATTTATGGGTTATTCTATGCCACTATTGTGAAAGTACTCGCCAGGAGTTAGTGGCATTATGAATCTGTCGATCACTGTTGTTCATTGCAGAACAGGGGAATAAAAATCTTTTAATGTTATAAAAACTTGTAATTTTGGTAATAGAAAAATATATGGCACAATTGTAACTTTGACAAATTTGCTGCGCGTCGCTCCGAGGCTTGGATTAAAAAAAGGTCAGCGGAAGAGAGCAAAAATACTGGAGTAGCACAGATAAAAATGTCTCTGGTTAGAACAACTGTTATACCCCATGTCAAATAACCCAGTGTGGGTATAACCCATGTGGTCAATGACCCAGTGGGTTATGAACCAAATGGTCAAATAACCCAGTGGGTTATGAAGTGTTAAAATATATAGTCAAATGACCTAGTACGTTATGACCCATGTGGTAAAATGACCCAGTTAAGTTTTTGTTTATAATTTCGATTAAAGAATGAATTTTATTGCATAAAAATCTGCATAATATGTGTATTATTTTTATATCCGAACCGGTGTGGTGCTGATATTGGTTGATTCTGTCAGAAAATGTGTAATACCGACATATAAAATGGTATTAAAACATAGTAGCTACAGTACGAAAAAGATATCGTGACACTGTCATTGAAAGGGGGCGATAAGCTGTCATTTAGTTCGATTTATGTCCACCAGGTCAGATATCCTTGTCGATCTATACCTTACTTAGTTGCAGTCTAAATACAAACTGTTTGTTGCTGTTGTAAATAAAAAATGATCTTGATTCACTTTTTATTTATTTAATTGAAAATTATTAACATCTTTCTTACTGCGACATTTTAGTTTTAATTTTGGACTCTGAAGGCAGTAAACGTGTTAAAATTCAAGTCAAGGCAATCCAGCTGTCTTTTTGCGTTCCCACTGTTGATACATGTATAAAAACATTGTATTTCGATGCAAACGAGATGTTTCAATACGTGTATGGTAGTGAAAACGTATTGTTTACAATGTTGTTAAATTTGTTGTGTCGTGTTTGGAAATTTTGAATTATTAAAAAGTATTATTTTAATAGTGGTTTTATTTATTAGGGAAATAAAATTGAATTTAAATAAAAATCAGATTTATTATGAAATTTCATTTAAATAAGGCTTGTAACGTCATTTATATAAAATTCATGGATGTATCTCTGAAGTACGTAGCTAAAGGCTTTTCATGTTTCTTTCAATAAACATTACATTTTTTTGAAATAATGCCACAAACTAATTTAATAAGGTAAAAAACAAAGTCAAAAAATAAATTAAATCCATATTTCCACAAACAAATTGTGAAGAAAATAAAATAAGATACCTATAAATTATTTTTGACATAGAACAGTTCGTCTGTCCTCTCTATCCATCTCTTTCACTCTTATTGCGTATTTGCAAACTTCAAACACCCGCCATTTTTGTTCAAATGACGTCACATAGCCTTAAATACATCGAATGTTTACAAAAGCGGATCACATAAAAGCATTTTTTTCTTATAATGTATAGGAAAATGCAGAAAAGCACAGCAAAGCGGCAGTTCTATATTTAAGTACTTACAAGCTAGGGAAATAAAACTTACAAAAGTAAAAAAAAAATTAAGTACTATAATGGAATATTTTTTTTAACATTTTGCATATTTTTGTATACTTTAAAATCTCTTTTGTTGGTAGGATGGAAACTGGATAGCTTTTTAATTTTAATATCGGGCGATAAGGGAAAAAAATTGTACATTTTTTGTCGATGTCCAGTTTAATGCATAGTGAATATTATTGTCCGAAAATTTTGAGGTTAGATTATTTTACTGTCGTAAGGAAATTTCTCCAAAAATATTTTGAGCAAAAGTGGATTTCTCACTTATTATCACAGAATATGCCGAAAAATATTGGTTTGTTTATAATAATTTCGATTACATTGAAGCTCTGTGTTGTTTGCGCGGCTCGCTGTCTCAGGGGTGGTCACTGCGCGCCCTGGGGGAGGACGTCCGCGGGGGGGAGGCGCGTCATAGCAGGAACTCCTTGGGGAATAGGTTCATTGCAGCATAGTCTTCTAGTACCTGTGTTAAAACAGACAAATATTGATAATTTGTCTTAAGTTATAAGAGAATGACAATAGCTACCTAATGTGTTTAAAACAACTATAATGAACATCGGCTAATTTATTTCCAATGACGCCTCAATTGCAAACGCTGATAGAGTCAATGGAGTATAGACTTTCGTATATGTTTCCATTCAAATTTAAGAAAAGTTACCGAAGCGTGTTGTATATTTGTATCGTCAGTGTTGTGTTATTTGTACTGTGTTTAGTGTTGTGTACTCTGTACTGTATATTCAGTGTTGTGTGTTTAGTGTTGTGTACTCTATACAGTGTGTTCAGTGTTGTGTTTAGTGTTGTGTACTCTATACAGTGTGTTCAGTGTTGTGTTTAGTGTTGTGTACTCTATACAGTGTGTTCAGTGTTGTGTACTCTGTACTGTGTGCGGTGTGACCTGTGTGAGCGCGTGCGCGGTGGGCGCGGGGTGCCGCGGGCGCAGCAGGGCGGCGAGGCGCGCGCCGTCGAGGCAGAGCTGCCTGTTGAGCAGCAGCTCGGCGGCGGCTGCGGGCTCCAGCGGCGTGTGCGGGATGTCGTGCCGCCGGCAGATGTCCGCCCACGCGCTTAAGTGAGTGTCGTTGGCTTGCTCTACTACCGCGCTTATGTCAGTCTGTAACATAACGCAATATAAATAGTGAAGATTTAAACCCTTAAAGCGTCAATAATCATCTATAGCTAAAATCAATTGAAACTCCATCAACTGATTCAAATAGTAGTCTTCTTTGTAAACTTGCAAGAAACAAGCAACTTGTAATGGTTTCTTTAATCAGTACCAACTTGATGAAAAAAACCTGTTCTTTATTGAAAAAAATAAGTTATTTGAAATCGACAGAACACACTTGCCTTATAACCGTCACCAATTTACAAATATTAAAAAAAATGCTGAATTACCTAGATATCTACATACCTTAGCGAGGGTGGATATCGCCGTGCCGTAGTAATCATGTTTGATTTTAAATATCTCGGAGACGAGTTTGGCGAGGCTGCCCTGCGAGCTGTCGGCCTCGTCCACCACGTGGTAGACCTGGCCCTGCGCCTCCGGAGCGAGGGCCAGGGTCCAGGCGGCGCGGCACACGTCCTCCACGTGCACCGTGTTCATCTTCAGCTCCGCCGTCCACAGCAGTTTCATCGTCTGTCCGAGGTGCTTGTAGATTGCACCTATCAGTAGTCTGGGAGCTGCGAACAAGATTACAATACGTGAAAAATATATTTAACATTGGATTAGATTACTAGATTTCGCCTGCAATTAAGTCTGTGCGGGATTTAAAAAAAAAAATTAGTAGGTAGATGTTTTTTTCTTTCAGATTATGTTCTACATCTCTGTTAAATTACATCGAAATATGTTAACTATTGGAGATAAATAGTAACAAACGTCCATTCATCCAAACATTCGCATTTAACAAGTATGAAGTATAAGGTTCACAGTGACCTTGACCAAGTATCAAGGTCATATTTAAAACAATCTTTTAATAGTCTTAACAATAACTAAGAACAAATATTCACGGCCGAATATTGAAACGACATTATATAACATCTTAAACGATAGGCCCAAACCAAAACTTCAAATTATATTAATATTTAGAAATTTAAGATTGTAAAAGGCGTTTACGAAGCGAAGTTAAAAGATTCGTTTCACAATTCAGCCGACGGTGTGGCGGATTTATTGATTTACTAACTCAAACTCCTCCTATCGCCGATGCCGTACACGATGGCGGGGCGCAGCACCGTGTAGCTCAGCTCGGGCTCCAGACTGCGCAGCTCCTGTTCCACCTTGCTCTTCATACGACCCTCTACCGTCCATGGCTCTATGGGACAATCTTCTTTCTGTGGCTGGAATAGACATACACTGCATTGCACAAGACAACGACAAATTTGTACATTCGCGTTGGTCCGCTTCGTTTTAAAATATACAAAATGTTCAAACGACTGTAGTGTTTAAGGTGGTACACCGCCAAATTCCCCGACTGTACATTTTGTATCTTTTGCGCAGTTTTTTCTGTTTTTTACTATTCTACTTAGTTACTGCTTGTGTTTTCTTAACCAGCAGTCATATATCAATGGACATTAATTTACGAAAATTTGTCATATCAAATATTCCAAACCAAATCATAATCTTGTGATTAGTATGCTTTTGTAAGCTTTTAATCCCAAGAAGCCATACAGTAATTAGACTAAATGTCTCCAAAAATTGTGTTACTTGCAGGACTTCGTAAATCCGATTAACCAAGGAAACATTATAGTTATATTTTCCATATCTATATAATATCATAAAACAGCAGCATAACAATGTATAGAAGCTACTCTATTTTTTTTTTCAATTTTCCATGCAGTACCACAGAGTAGCATAGCAAAACCAGTGTAACAACGTAACAGTAGTAGAACTAACCTTATCGCTACTATACATATGGCCGCTGGAGATCTCCACCAGCCTGCCGACCTTCATCTTAGCGCACTGGCGAGCCACATTGCAGCTCAGCGTGAAGATGCCCTCCGAGTAGACTGCCTCCGTCTGCCCCATGCGCGTCTCCCCCGCGCAGTTCACTACCACATCCCACGGCTCCCCATCCGTATTGAGAGCTGTCGCGCATGATGCTGGAAAAGGCACACTTAATAATAATAAAAAAATAACAAGATAATCAAAGAATTGAAAGAAAAAAGTTATGAAAACATGTGGAAAAAAATGATTGTATGTTGTTTTTTAGAAAAGATAAAATCATTATGTTCATCATCTTTCTCCTTTCACACAATCCATCCATCTCTTTCTAAGTCTACCTCTACTGATGTACCCTTCCAAATTCTTTATGTTCTTTATATTTTTTACGATAGGTTAGTTAAGCACAATAGTCTCTCCCCTATCCCTACACAAAGAGCTTTGTGATATAACTTAGTCAGCACTTGATAGAGTGGCTCTTGATTGATTGCATTCTCCGAAGGGACAAGGGCAAGTTGATGGGATTGTACTAACTATAGTTCGGGATACATTCTAGAATAAAACCATCAGTTTGATTTTTTTTGTATAAAATAGCCCTTGACCTCCCCACATATCATGTTACATTATAACAATCTTTGACAAATCACAAAATACATCTTACTAATATTATAAACTAGCTTTCGCCTGCGACTCCGTCCGCGTGGTATTAAAAAAAACAAAACCATGTAGCCTATGTGTTCTTCCAGACTATTCTCTTCATGTATGCCAAATTTCATTGAGATCGGTTCAGCAGTTTAGGCTAAAAACTCTAACAAACATCCATCCATCCATCCATCTAAACTTTCGCATTTATAACATTAGTAAGAAGTAAAATGCGAAAGTGGATGGATGTTTGTTAGAGTTTGTAGCCTAAACTGCTGTACTGATCGCGACGAAATTTGGTATAGACGTAGAGGATAGTCTGGAAGAACACATAGGCTACTCACTTTTTTTTTTTATTCCATGCGGACGGAGTCGCGGGCGAAAGCTAGTAGTTAATAAATATTATTTTACTCATAGTAATATCATACAAATCATAGTAAGCAGACAATAAAGCTTTGTAATTAAATGAAGGATATGAATTGGGTATCGGAGGGTAGTTAGTATGCACTGAAGATAGCCGTCCACAATGGCCCACCTCACAAGACATGCATCATTCAAATTCTGTTCATTATTAATGCATGATATATTTTAACGCTAGTTTGCTTCGCTTATGTATGAAATTCTAAGGATATGTCTAATTATGATATTTACACAACTGTTAGTATGAAAATCAATGTTTTTGCATTTAAAATAAAATGTATAGAACATAACAATGTATGTATAACTCTTAAATTATACAGCAAACAGTAATTATTGTCATCTTCATGGTATTGATACAATAACAGGAAACTGTAAAATTCTATACATATAATAAAATTAGAGTGTCTGTTTGTAAAATCAAAAGAAAAATTCCAGATTTCGGGAAAATGATGTATTTATGTTGTTAACGAAAATCGCATTTAAACTTTTTTGTCTGTCTGTCTGCAACCTGCATTTGTTTCGGGTAATCTTTGAAAAGGCTGGGCCGATTTTGACCGGAGCTGACATAGATGGGCATATTATAGGCTACTTTTTATCTTAATATTGCGTGGACGAAGTCGCGGGCATCACCTAGTTTAGAATATATTTAATGGAATGTCACATGTTGAGTCATGTCCTACTATGATAGAAATATCACAAACGGTCGTACCGTTGAACGGTCGTATCCATGACCACCAGTCAAGGATATAAATCAATATTTACTAGCAGCTGCCTTATTTTATCTCGTTTTTTCGTATATGCTCGTAATCAGTGGTGATAAAACATGCATTGTTATATCCTAGATTGATAAGATCTTGGATCTAGCAAAATGTGTTTTAGTGTTTAGCTAACAACCCCATATTTCAATTGTGTCCAGTGTGATGTACACCTAATTAAAAAAAAATTGCATCAGTCCTGTACTTATGTCAAGTCCAAAAATATAACTAAGTAGCTGTTGCGCGCGATTTCGCCGGAATTAAAAAAATAGTAAAAATGTAGCCTATGTTACTAACAGATAAATTACTTTTATAGCGGTGAAAGAATTTTTAAAATCGGCCCAGTAGTTTTTACGTGTATCGAATACATATAAAAATACAAATCTTTTCTCTTTATAAAATTAAGTATAGATAAAAAAAAATCCCAAACATTCCGTCGAATTAAGAGTTAACGTAATAATTTGGTATTAGAGTACAGATAATTAATTGCATTTGTGAGTCTTCCAATCGTAAACGGAAGTCACGCGATGTAAGCAAAACGAGTCGGCGCGTATTACATTACTCTTGCGTTAAACTGCATTTATCACTTTAATGTAATGCCTCATTAATTACATTAATCAATTTTTTTTGTGTCTGGTAACATTTCCGTCTTAAACTTATCAGTTTTGGTTTAATTATGCATTAGCTATCACAGACACCAACCCGCACTTGGCCAGCGTGGTTGACTATGGCCTAGTCACCCCTTATTAGGGTAGGCTCTGAGCCCCTCGTTGGGGACATGTAGTGAGCTGGTGATGTATCACAGACAAAAAAAAGAGGGCTTAATTGAATTAAATTACATAGTATAATATGCGCATGTTACAAGCAGGACGTTAGTTATGAGTATTGAGGTATACCGGTAGAGGTAGACATAGAAAGAGATGGATGGATTGCGTGAAAGGTGACATGATCAAGAAGGTAGTGATGACTGAGATAATGAATGATAGTTATTTGGAGGACAAAAACATGCTGCGCCAACCCTACAGGAGTAGGATAAGGAGAAAGACGATGATTTATAATAAGCATGTACCACAGACCGACCTTTTTACATACAGATATAGTTAAAAGCTGAGTCTTATTGGATATTGTTTATCATCTACTCAATATCTTCAGTGGTTTTTAAATGGAACACCTCTAGATTCGCCAACTGTACATACAGTTTGGCAAGAAATAAAACATTTGGTATATCAAGGTAAAGTAGACCACATTAGAATGAGAAAAAAACGATGTTTATATTCTCGCTTCTTGCTTCTTATTTTTTTTATATTCTTCTTCATTTTTTTTTGTATTCTTGGGTAGACATCACATAAATAGTGTATAATGTATATGAGGAAATGAATCACATAACTTGATAACTTATCTTGTGTCAATGACATGAAAATGTGTAGTAATATATAAATAAAACATTAGTTACAAGTGACCTTTTAACCTTTAATATTTTGAAGCCTTCTTTTGTTACTAGTAATTACAGGTTAGCCACTGACGGACCTTGCAGACGAAGTCCACTACATGGTTTAAGGGCCTTATAGCAATTTGTTAAAACTATTTTTGTTTTTTTTTTCTTTTCATTTTCTTGTTTTAAATTGTGTTTGTTTTTAATTGTATGGTTTCGGTATTTAGTTTAAGATATTATGGGACTGACATGTTTTAAGGAACAAAAGTCCCTTTAAAAAATAAAGAGAATAAAAAAATTACACATTATGTATACAGGTGTTCCTTTATATTGTATTGTGTACTTATTTATTATAGTTCTGTTATCTATCTATACTAATATTACAAACAGGAAAGATTTGTATTTTTGGATTTTAGTATATATTGCAATAACTCAAAAACTACTCGACCGATTTCAAAAATTCTTTCACCATTAAAAACTATGTTATCAGTGAGTAATGTAGGCTATTTTTAATTTTACGCGGGCGAAGTCGCAAGCAATCTGTTATATTACTACTAGTGTATTAAGACTCATTTTCCTTGTATTATCTACTTGGCATACAGACCTTTTAAGTTGTTTTCAATTTAAAATTGCTATTGTTTATAGTAGCTAGTGTTTTGTTTACAGAATTTCAGTAATTATTATTATGTTGGTAATTAACTGTGCACTTAAAATGAATGCTTAAGCAACTATGTCTGAATAAGTATCTTTACAGTATGACTTTGATTTTTGAATACAAAGTTTTTGAATGCATGTAAATTTTTACTTACTTGGATTGATTAAATTTGCGCTTTTGTATTACATGCAATTTTTACTTACTTGGATTGATTAAATTTGCGCTTTTGTATTCAACGCGGGGGTCCTCGAAGATTTTTGTATGTGTCGGATTGAGGAAGGCCAGTTGGGGTGGAGTTTTGTCCACCACTCGCAACTCACTCACTAAGTCGTTGCTTATTAAGTATTCAACCAGATTCCGACCGATAAAGCCGCACCCTGTAGCAATCGAGACCAGAATGAGAAAAAACACTTAGGTCACCCGATGACTAACACTTTCGAAAGACCGTTATTGGGTTTGAAAAAATGTAGTACATCGAATAAAACATCTAGTTACGGATGTATGACTTCCTCGCGATAATTGGCAATTACTTTAATCACAAATGCAATAAGTTTACCTCCTAAAACTACAGCTCGGGGCTTTATTTCACCGGTAGATTCAGACATTTCGCTATCAGTAGCGGTTTTACAAATGAAAATGACAATTTGACATTTAACATGACATTGATTGAGATGACAGCGGACTGTGCTGCCATATACTTTTCATGGCTGAATTTCGGAGTTTTTATATCCAAGAAATGGGATTGCGGTGTTTTACATTTTTTTTTAAGAAAACGTACCATATTTATTACTATATTGTTCATTTATTCATGTTAAATCGTATTGCTAAAATACAGAAAAAATAACTAAATTCAGTCTTGAACTAAGTTGAAGTTGAACAAAATTATTCAGGCGATCGAACCATTTATTTAATAATTAGATGTTGCTTTTAGTTAATCAGCACCGTGTTTTTGTTGGTTCATTCGGTTTTTTTACGATATCATTAGAGTCCGCTTTAATTGTTTCATCTGCCGGAAGTAAAAAAGTTACTGCCAATCCAGCTGAAAAACGAAATGCATATTATTAAATAAGTATGTGTGTATATGTGTAATTTCTATTAAAATGTCAATAATTATAGCAATCTTACATATAACTAAAACGACGTATCCACTTATCATGGGTGTACAATGATCTGCAAGGAGCGATGCAATTAGCTGTACACTAATGAAGCCGAATCCTCTCGCGACTACTACAGACAAACATGTAGCCATTCCCCTGTAAAGAAATGTTTATCTAAGTGTTTACCACTTATGTTTATCACTTTTATAACTTATTTTCGAGTCTATCTTATTTTATTTTAACAAGGCTATATTACAGTGTTAAATAATTGGTTTTATGTTTTCATGCATCTTTGTACCGAATTCAAATGCAATTTCGACTTAATAGAACTTAGTTTTTGAGGTAAAATTTCGCACTAACCTTAAGTAAGTTGGATTTAACTCAACTAAGTATGTATTGACAGTACCCAAGATAAGAGAGACGTAGTTGAAGAAATAAAATAGGGTAATACTAAGTAGCGGAAGTGTCACGAAAATGAGCGCCAAACCGCTGAGTACGGATACAGTGAATACGATCATTGTTATTTTCTTTTTTCCTACGCTGCCGACCACAAATGAAAGTATAATATTGAGGCTGCCAGATACTGCAGAATAACAAGCCACTGCGTACAAGGTTAGTGGCTGAACGACATTGTTGCAGTCTGCAGACGACTGAAAAAAAAAGTAAATAAGTGTAAGAATGTTGTTGTTTATGCCTTTGAAAGTTTATATTGTAATAATAAAGTGCTAGCTGTATTGTATCCCTTCATTCTATTGTGAATATTTGTCACGAATCACGTTTTCGTGTTCAGGGATAGTGTTACAGTGTCCTTGCACAATTTATTTGCATATGCAAATGCATGGATATCCATGAAGTTACGTATAATCAGAATAACATACAAAATAAATGACAAGCGAGAACCGTTGATTGGTTACTAAGTGAAACCCTAAGTGTAGAATTCTCATATTAAATCTATGCATAGAGACATCGACAACAGAAACTCGACTCTACGACAGTAATCAATTGAATTTATCTTTATAATTACCGTGACGTTAGAAGAGGCAGTGCTGGCGACTTCACAAAACGTTTTTCCAGAGTTGTCTTCACCGTTGAAGTATGCATTTGTCATTGTAGGCACCCACATTGTATAGCCCGTCGACCTATACGACAATAGGACAAATAAAATAGCAAGGGCCCACTACTGGCTGATAGAGGCTCAGATATCTTAAAAATGACATCATTGCCAGATAAGGTAATAAAATCCGATATTTCCATCACTTATTTTACAAGTTGGGTTGTTATCAGATAATTTATGATTCGGTGAGACAGGCCCTAAGACTGAGAAACTAGAGAAAAGAAATCAACATCCTATACTGGAACCAACATCATTCTAGATATTACAGTTCTAATATGCAATGACTTGTTTATAAAATAACTCACGTCATATAAGCACTCAGTAGCAAATAGTAAAGTTTTAACGAATTCTTTAGAAGCGGAGGTTTGAAGAGGGGAGCTGTTTGGTTCCATATCTTACGCACGAACGATACGTCATTAGGAATATTGACTGTCGACTCTTCTAAGAACACTTCTTTGACCTGTTAAAACAATAATATTGATCAATCAAAACTAATGCTAGAAAAACCTCCAGAACTAGGTAGAAAAGCATACTTACAGAGTAATCGTTTTTTCCAACAAAATTATAATTGTAAATTTTCGTCAGTCCAACAAGAGCGTCTTCCGTTCTGCCTGAACTGAGCAGGAACTTAGGGCTTTCGTGTAAGAAGACCATGCTTATCACGCCAAGGATGCCGGGAAAACTGATGATTAGCATGAGCAGTCGCCAGGGTCGGTAGCGCATAGACATCAATGGGATGTGAACGTCGAAGGAGAGCTCGAAAACTGGCAATGCTACCACTGTTTAAAAAGATCATAAACGTCTACTATAATTTACATTTATATAGGAAAGTTAGTTCTGGTCATGATGGACTTCTTATTTGCATTCTATGATTTGCTGTTACTTAACTGAGAATAACTAAATAAGGATTCCCTATAAAAACAATAATATTTCGTAGTCTTATCGAATTTAAAGTATTAAAGTAAGTGCTCACAGCATATGACGAGTTGGACGTACATGGTGGCACTGGCCATCAGGAAGAGGAACCGGCTGCGGTGTCGCGCAGGCGTCGTCTCTCCGAGTAGTACAAACGCGGCGGCGTTCGCTGACGATGTGCTGTACATTAAGATTTTTTGATACATAAACACACAGCACAAACTATTGAGGATACAGGCTTCAAGTCATTGAAGCCTTGAAGCACAGAAATATCTATGCAGATTCTCTTTGACAAGAGTAGGACCTGTCCCACCACTGGCTCAGATAGCTTAAAAATGACGTCACTGTCAGATAAGGTAACAAAATCCGATATTTCCATCACTTATTTTACACGTTGGATTGTTATAAGACAATTTACAATTTAGTGGGACAGGCCCTAAGTCATTCAAGCGTAAAAATGCAAAAAATAAACAAAACTACTTACAAGCCAGCTGATAGAAATTTAAGTACAGCTAAAGAGGCGTACGTTGGCGCCACATTGGCAGCTAGATTTAGAACAGCGCCTATCGGCATCGCTATGAGCAGGGTTCTACGTCTACCGAGGGTATCGGCGCACAGACCCCATGCATATGACGATAGCATCACTCCTAAAGCAATAAGAAACAATTTTTAACAAGTAACTATAAACCCTCAAAACATAACAGTACTCAGTGAGGCAAATGGTCACAGTACTCGGGAAATAAGCATTTGCCGTCTGAAATGGGTTAAGAACATAATAAAAAATTGAGGATTTGTGGTTATTAACCGTTTCAGAAGGAACAAGAAGTTTAAAAACTTGTAGTTTTGTTCTTAACAATTTCGTTATTCTATTTTTGAAATTGTATTATAATTAAAGATAAAAAAAATTTCGTTGTAAAATGGATGAGTTTATTCGAATACTGACCAATCAAAGGCACAGCTGAGAGCAGGCCTTGCTGTGTAATGGTGAGCGCCATATCGCAGGCGACCGCCGGCAGAGCCACAGAGAACCCGAAGATATCCAGGTACATCGCCAGGATGAGCAGGTTGCACGAGCACAGCATCCAGTAAGTATACCTCCCGAAACCTTTACAATAACAGGCAATATAATTATTTGAGAAATATTAAATTAAAAATAAAATAAAAAATATATACCTGCTAAATTTAAAGCATCATCGTAGCTATATTTTTCGGTTGCACTTTTCATTTCTTTATTACTTTCGGCCAGCATTTTATTTTTAACGAAACCACTTTTGAAAGTACTGGCAGTTAAAACGTTACGTTCGAAGTTTAAATCTTCAACTCGACTAACAAGAGAATTCCGAATGCAACTATTTAATTACACAATAAAACCTCTTAAGAGGTTGTGAATGAATTGTTATTTAGAGACAAATAATTACGTGTCACATTTTCCCATTTAAATTGTTATTGTTAATTATTTGTAAAGTGTTGTTGAGTACGTAGTGTCATAGATTAAACAAGCCATTGATAGTGTAACATAGAAATCATACTTGCTGCATTTCATTCATAAGAGCCAAACAAAGAAATAAACATGGATATCTTTTTTTTGGTAGCCTGGTTATTTATCCTTCTGTGAGAACTATATTGCCCCAACTATTTATGGTTACTGTTCAAGAGACCAAGTTTCAACCATGCCCTTTGCCAAGATTTTTTAAATACCGTACTTTCTAGTCTTTGTACTTGTGAAGTGGCGGATATTCCAATACATTCATGTAAGTGTTGATAAGGCATGTATAAACTACTCGATAATTTGCTTATTGTTTTTGTATTGTGTTTCCGAACTATTGATGTGGGAAACTGGTTGGGAAATTTAAAATTAGAAAAATAAATTGTGACTTATGATTTAGAAACGTGGTACTTAAATATACATTTTTTGTACAATTGTATAATTTAAATTTTTTATACTTTCTCTTTCTGGAGAGATTTTGAATCTCATACTCGGAACATTAGGCGAGCTTTTACCCGCCTTCCATTTTCCTGTGAAACTCGACTATCTCTTTTCGTTGCTGCTCTCCTGGTAGTTTTCTGTAAATGGCGGCCCTGTATCGGTTGCCTAGCAACCCTGACTTTGCCTTGTAGTTGCTACAAAAATATTTTTTTTGCAATAAAAACTTATTTAATTTTAAAACAATGTATTCCTATTACGACCATTGTAGGGCATGTAAAATGGTTTTAAACTTGGTTTTACCTTATTTTAACGGGAAGATAAAAATGCTCAACTAACAAAGTCTTCGGAGCTTTTCAGCTATTCACGATGCTTTCAACATTCCAAAGCTTTTTCTTCAAGTTGTTTACGACAAAAATTTTCACGATGTCTGAATTATCAGGACAACATACACACAAAGAAGTTGCTAAGATCACTATAACGAGAAAGTATGTGAAGAAATGGAGAAGGCCAAGGAAATTCATTTAAAACTTTGGTTTTGTAAAAAGTGTTCGTGTATTTAATATTATTTCTGTATGTAATTCACTAGACGGCCTTACAATCACAAACCTCTCATAATACTACTTTGCCGAAATTTTATAAAAGCAAAAGTACATTTAGATACCACATCCATTTTTAACATTCGTAGCTCTACAGACTAGACAAGGGGTGAAAAATCAATATTTTCACGCATGCGTTTCTCCCATCATAGCGGAACCCATCTACAATTTTATGCTATCCTAGTACTCCCGCCCACAGATACGAAAGTTTTCTGCCCACCATCAGATACCACCAAGTTTCAGGAAATAACGAATGGTTACTCTAGTCACTTTAGTGGACGGAAGATGAGAGGAGTTATAAAAACTGTGATAGTATCTTAACAGTTTCATCACAGCGCCATCTTTTGACTAAAAATGTGATGAAATTGAACTTTATAAGCTTACAAATGAGCTTTTCCAGGAAAACTCTTATTTTATAGCGAAAATTCTTAATTCTATCGTCATCGTAAAGAAGGAAATCTATGGCGCTTTTAATTTTTATAATCCTGTTATAAAGGAATTGTAAAAACAAAAATCGGAATCATATTAAAATATAACATTTATTTACAAATAAAGCCTAATTTAACTTAAGATCTATGAGCAGTCTTCTTTCTTCGCCTGGTTTATTTGTAAATTCTTGTCATTGGGGAGGAATGCTGCTACGATCGCTGAAGCTGAAAGTTTCAAAAAATACATATTGAGTATACTTCTATTTTAAACGTCCATTCACTTTTACTGATAACCAAGAAATCAATGAAAACAAGCTAATTATTTAGCGAGAGTTATTTTTTTCGAATTTGAACATGACAAAAAAAAAACAAAATCTATATACATGCGAAAATCGAGCTGAAAAGATAGAATCCCGCATCGCAGTTGACTTCCAGCAGTAGATTGAGGATCTGCACGGAAGCGAAGTTACCTATCCTGCCGCCCGTCATCGTCAGCGCAACTGCCAGAGCCCTGTAGCACATACAACAATGCTGACGATCCGAACAACACTTCAACTTTTTTTTTAATATACCATAAGGTGACAAACAAGCAAGCGGCCACCTGAAACCCACAAAATTGCAAAGCAACCGTTTCCCATAAACATCTGCAATTTCAGATGCGTTGCCTACCCTTGATCTACAGAGTAGGAGACGCACACATAGTGGATACTCGTTTCGCCCCTTCCTGTCTCCTCCATTATCAGTTCAACTTTCCCATTCTATCTTTATAAGGAAAGGATGGAAAGGGAGAGTGACCAAAAATTAGGCATCCGGCGCGCACACTCATTAGACGAAACACGAAATTGCACCCACTTCACACCTGTCTTTGTCTGTCTAAAGATGTTAAAACGGGCACTACCTTTCAGAAGTGAAGCGGTTTACATTTATAAAAACCTCAATTCGTTAAACTGACCTTAGATTGGTAGGGAATAGCGCGACAGTGATGGCTGTGTACAGTCCTACGATGAGGATGCCAAGCGTGAAGATAACAAAGAATGCGGCGCTGCCGAACGCGTTGGGGATGAGGTTTGTAATGATGCCCGCGAGCCCGCACACTAGCGCCACCGCCATCGCCATGTTACGACGACCCACGCGGTTTATTATCTGCATGTCGCAAGATAAAAATACATCGTTAATGTTAAAATACTGCTGAAGGTTGGGTTTTCTCTGCATTAAATAATTCTATTTGAAATCGACAATGTTTGCGCGACGTTTTGTGTTTAAAGTATTGTTGCGCAGTACAGGCCGTTAACGCAAGACGTCATAAGACCATCGACAAAACTTCTACGTAAGAATAGACTTGTAAGCCTTTTAAGGTAACCATTATACAAAGTTAAATAGGATTGTAGTCAACTCAATACATGCAATTAATATTTTACTATGCATTATTAATAAATGTAATTACCAAGCCAAGGAGTCCGTTCACAATCGACCTTAGTGCGCCCACCAGTAGTACAAACAGTAGAGAGGTCACGTTAAGCGAGCACGGTACTGCATTTGGCTATATACAGAATCATTAAATTGACATAAAATCATAGTGTCGATTAAGATATTTGTGTAATTTGTTTAACGTAGAATACTTTATTTATTTACTAGCTTTCGCCCGCGACTTCGTCCGCGTGGAATAAAAATAAATAAAATCGAGTAGCCTATGTGTCCTTCCAGACTATCGTCTATATCTATGCAAAATTTCATCGAGATCCGTTCTGCCGTTTAGGCTACAAAGTCTAACAAACATCCATCCATCAATCTAAGCTTTCGCATTTATAATATTAGTCGTAAATAAATAGATGACACTTACAATTAATACAAAGTTGATTTTTATACATTACACTTTTTATACTTTAGATGTCATTACGAACTTTAAATCAATAACATTTGAACTTAACGAGTTATTAGTGTTTTATCTATACTATTATAATAAAGCGTAAACACACATTTCTTTGTTGCCTAAGATGTCAGCAATTACAGCAGATTTTTGTATAATTCCTTTTTTAACGAAAAGCCCTACACTTACGTCACGCTTTAGGCTATATATTTTAACGCCATTAAATTTAGGGGATTTTGGATAAAAACCCTAATGTGGGAAAGAGACCATAAGATGCTGCCAACATCAAGGAAGCAAGGTTGTCATGTCATGTCATTTTCACATTTGTAATTGATAATTTGACAAATGTAAACAATGAAATAAAATTTTCATAATTTCATGCGGATGAAGTCGCACGGGATCAGCTAGTTAATACTGCAGATAAGCAACAAAACTTCGTGTTGACAATTCACAAGTTACTATGGGAGAGGAATCATTATTTTTGTTTAGGATTTAGGCTTACTAGTGAACAAATTGATATGTTTCTTACAATCGCTGGATTATAATGATAACATAATTTATTTTCATGTAATACTAAAGTTATCAGCAATATCTAAAAATGTTGAATCGCAATTGTTTAAAATACGCGACCAATCGAAAGATCGATCGTAATCGATGTCCTTTACCTACAAAGGACATCGTTTTTTGGGCTCATAAAGGATTTAGGTCCTCCGCTAATTGCGTCTCATAAAAACTAAAATAACAAACTCACATCAGGTGGAGTGTCTATGGTCGTACTAAGTATAGAGCAGAGACTCTGGTCAGTGCTCTTGCCAGTCTCCACGATCTGAACAAACTGATTGGCTATCGTCGGCAGCCATATCCCGAATGCACCCACTCTGTATTCAACATTCCAAATTATATTGTTTTACATAACAGCATTACAATTTAAATCTTTTTTTTTATAACAAAAGGTGGCAAACGTGCAAGCGGCTACCTGAATCCGCCAAAATGGCGAAGCGACCGCTGCCCATAGACATCCGCAATTGCAAATGTGTTGCCTACCCTTATCCGACAGAAAAGGAGATGCACATAAAGAGGATATTTCCCCTACCTATGTATCTCCTTCTCTGTCAAATCCACTTTCCCTTCCCATCCTCTCCTTATAAGAAAAGGGCGTTAAAGAAAAAGGGACTTAAAATAGGCCTCCGGCACCACACTCATCAGACGAAACACGGAATTGCTTCCATTTCACGCCTGTCTTCTGTGTGGTCGTGGTATTAATGGGGGCGTGCCAGCCCATTCGTGCTAAGATGTTAAAGCGGGCACTACCACTGTTAATCTATCTATTATCATAGTTTGCATGTGTCCGATATTTTAACCACTTATCGTATAGATAACTGTTACTAATTGACTTGTGTATAAAAACATGTTACTAAAATTTTTAATTTAGTATTTCTCGAACTTTCTATCCTTACTCTCTATTAATGTAGAAGTCGAATCTTTAAGTTGTCTCATAGGTTAAACTCCATCCGATCTTGGACATACTAGTTTTTGATTTCAATCTGTTTTTTAAAGTTATTTAGAGCAAATAAAACCTTACTGTTGGAATACGAAGAGTATTGTCATTATAATAGTATACTTCAGTAGGGGCGTTTTAAAGAGCGGCACAATCTGCTCCTTTGTTGAAGATGGACCAAACGACTGCTGGGCATTGTACATTAAACCTGTGATCTGAAACAATATTACCTTACTTTACTTTATTTTACTAATATAATAAATGAGAACGTTTAGATGGTTGGATGTTAGAGTCTATAGCCTAAACGGCTAAACGGGTCTGGATGAAATTTTGGCATAGATGTAGAACATAGTCTGGAAGAACGCATAGGCTACTTACTTACTTTTGTTTTACTTAATTATACAAAAGCTAGTATGTAAATAGAAGACGCGGAGCCGGAGATGCATAGGGAGCGAATTCTCTTTATGTATCTGTCCTCTGTGAATTTAAGTTACGCATTTGCAAACGTATGTCTGTGAGCAGCGGTCGCTTCAATATTTCGGCAAATTTAGGTGGACGTTTGCTTTGTTTTTTTTGCTACTAACATGTCTCACTCAAACTTTATTGTCATCGGCTGAATGTTACCTGCTAGCCCCCGCTTTTGTTTTGCGTCAATTTTAAGTAAATTTTGTGAGGAGCGGCTGATAACTTCGATAGTTGATAAAATGTATAACCCTTGTGTAATAAAATTACCTCTTACATGTAAATCTTCTGCAGATTTTCCTTTATTCATCCTATGCATGCTTTTAATGATATCGATGGCTTCTTGTTCCTTTCCCTGAGTGTATATGTACTTGGGGCTCTCTTTTACAGTGAGTAGCCAGACTGCAGCTAGGAGACCAGGTACGGAGTACACCAGGACCAGCAAGCGCCAGGAGTTCCAGTGTATCCCCAAGCTCGGAAGATAGATGGAGAAAGATAGAGGGATGATAGGGATGGCCATAACTGAATAATTTAATTAATTATTATTATTTATTCTTACAATATTTTGTAAAGTAATGTACTTTAGTTTTTTTTTGCATAGACGAAAATATATCCATTATAATGAGTAAGCATTTCAGTTGGCGCAGAAGAAAATTTAAGATCAAAATTCTGAACGTAGTTTAAATTCTTAAAAAGAAGGTTATATATATATAAGCGACCATCTCTTAAGATGCAATAAAATGAACTTGATAAATACCTGCCATAATTCCCTGTGCCATCAGGAATATGCTGGTGACTATTAACACGACCAGGTTCCGCTTGGCCACCGGCACGCTCTCGCTTAGCATCGTCATTGACAACGAGTACATGCCGGCAGCACTGCGAAGGAACAAGATTTTACTATCATAGTATTGTAGACTGAATAAATATGATGCAAATGGTCAAGTACACCTTACAATAGTTTATATATCTATTTAACATTTTTTCGATTCTCTAGAGTCTAAAACGTCAAGGGTCCTAAGATTAACTGTCTACTGTTCAGTGTGGCCTCTCCTCCGCGATACAACTGGTGTGAAGTTCTGAGTCCGCAAAATATTTGAACGGGGGAATACAACTTACCAAAAAGATGCGATAGACTGTAGTATCAACAACATGATCCAGTCTACTGATATACTGGCCAATGCGTTGACAACGGACGCGGAGAGCAGCGACACGAACATCATGCGCCGACGACCGAACTTGTCGCCAAGGTAGCCGCCGATTACACCGCCCAGGATTATACCTGAATTATAATTGGCAACTTTTAAAGGAATTCGTAAAAAGTTGACAGTCGCAATTGGATTCAACTGTCAAGCAGCTAAGTTTTTTAACAATAGATGTTTCACCTGGCTTTACGCAGATCTTTAGGTATCGAATCCCAAGAACAAAAGCACTAGCATAGAATTGTATTATCTGTAATATACATTTTTAATCCTGGTAACAATGTAATTTTGTGTAATTGTATATCCAAGATGGTGGCGGCAACAAAATGGCGGATGATGTATTTTTGTACAACTACTCCATCATAGGTATCAAATAAGGCTTAGTATTATATAGTACAATACAGTGACCTGAAAATGGCAGTTCTAGCTCTTACGTCGTCTCCTACTTTACCATGTCTGGGGAGGGATGCGGGTAAGAGTGCTGCGTTAAAGTAATTTGCAGATCTGAGGCGCTTTTTCTACAGGCACCGTGGCCGGTTGCCATCCGCTTCCTACACTAATGTTAGCATTGCAACATCTACTGCCATTACCGCAACATCTGTTTTGCTCTATAATGTACACACCAACTAAAGGTCCCGCAGCAATGAAGCCCTGCTGCGCGTTTGTGGTTTTCAGCTCGCAGGCGCTCGTTGGGATGATCATGGTCGTGCCAAAGGAAATGCAAGCGTAGGCGATGATGATAAAGCCAGTCAGGGCTGTCAGATTATAGCTGTACAGACCGAAACCTGCCACAGATAAAACAATTATAAAGCACATACGTATTTACTGTATACATGGGGAAAATATTAATCATCACCAGCACACTATACGTCCCACTGATGGGATGGAATCTACCCTAAGTTAGAGTGACTAAGCTTTAGTTGTCCACGCTGGCCCACTGCAGGTTGACTTCACAAATAACATTAAATTTCTTCGTCCATATCTTCAGGTTGCATCACAATGCTTTCACCATATGTATAATGTCAGGTTACGCTTCCAGTATTTAACAATATAAACTATAGGTAAATCTTACTAATTTTATAAATGCGTAAGTTTAGATGGATCGATGGATGTTTGTTAGTTTGCAACCCAAACGGCTGAACGGATCTCGATGTAATTTGGCATAGATGTAGAGAATAGTCTGGAAGAACACATAGGCAACTCACTTTTGTTTTTTAATTACACGCGGACGGAGTCGCGGGCGAAAGCTCGTATTAAATGTACTATAAATGTTTTTCTTTCACTTACCCGCCAAATCGAGAGCAGTTTCGAAAGAAACTTTAACATCATTTTCATTTTTATAACCGTTGTACATTTTATTGTTTAAACTATATTTGTTTAACGAGGAAACGGTTTAATTTTGTATTTAACGATTATGTTATAGTTGACACTATTTATTCTATTACTTTTAAAAAAGTTATTAAACATATTTACGACAAACTCAAGCGCCACCATTCATTTAATATACTGAAAAGTATGCGATGTTATTTTCTTTATCTAAAAAACGAATAAAGATAATGATTGAAATTGATTAACAAGACATTCATCACAGAGTCCAAAGTCGATGTGTGCTGTTTTAACGAAACGTCTAATAGTCTAAATTCCAAGGTCCAAGCTACAAATGGTCAAAATCTTAATATAGCTCGGTATCTTATCATACATCTATACTAATCACACTGATCATACTTCATATTAATCATACTAATGTTATAAATGCGAAAGTTTAGATGGATGGATGCATGGATGGATGGATGTTTGTTAGAGTTTGTAGCCTAAACTGCTGAACAGATTTTAATCAAATTTGCCATAGATGTAGAGGTTAGTCTGGAAGAACACATAGGTTACTTGCATTTGTCTTTTTTAGTTCCGCGCGGACGGAGTCGCGAGTGAAAGCTAGTTAAAATTATAAATAGGAAAGTTTTGTATTTTTATAAGTATTGAAATGACTCAAAAACCACTGGGCCGATTTCAAAATATCTTTCACCATAAGAAAGGTAATTTACCTGTAACTTTTAATATTTTTTTAATACCACGCGGGCGAAATCAGTTAGGGTACCTTTCACGCTAGTATAACTCGATAATTCAGTCAACCTTAAAAACACACCGACGGTTCTAAAACTAAATGGTGCTTCCACAGAAGTACACGCGAAAATGGGTGTCTCCAGAGGAGGCAGATACCCCTAAATAGACGAAAACTGGAAAATGTGTGTGTTTTATGAATGAAAAAAATTTTTGCTACTCTCTGGGCTTCCTTTTCCCCCTTGACCATCGGACTGTCTCCCCTTAGATCATCAGCTGGCGACGCTCATGTATGCGAGTTAAATTTTTAATAAAAATATTAGAAATTTGTTAATTTACTAATATTTCTTGTATCTTGTGTATATTAGACGAAGTTTGAGAGTAGCCCCAGTAGTGGAGAAGTAACGAGTAAAAGGTTAGCGTGGTGTGGGCATGTTATGAGGAGGGATGAATCGCATGTTACAAGGAGAACGTTAGTTATGATTGTGGAGATACACCGGTAGAGTTAGACCTAGAAAGAGATGGATTGCCTAAAAGGTGACATGATAAAGAAGGGAGTGATGACTGAGATGACGTATGATAGGGATATGTAGAGGACAAAAGTGTTGTGCCGATCCTACAGGAGTTGGATAAGGAGAAAGAGGATGATGACTAACGTTTTCCATTTACTAAAATGTAGGTTGACGACAATAGTCAGGAGGGATTTGAACCCTCGACAATCAAAATTAAACTATAAGCGCGATGATTTACTTAAATCTTTACTTAAAGACGTGATGTGCAATTTGTAACTCTTGAGTCATTTAATCACATCGTTATAGTATCGTGATGTAGCATATTGTCATGATCGGGCTTCGAATTAAAGAAATATACAATAAATACATTCAACAGATCTTTTTATTGCTACATGATTTACAAAGCTTTTTA